TCACAACGTCCTCACCTTCGCCCTCACAGCTACGACGACAGGACGGCCCAGCAGCACCTCGGTATTCGTGAGGATGACGTCACCCTCACGAGCAGAGGAGCCGCAACAATCACAATCAAGAAGATCCACGCAGACAGCGGTGGATTGTACGAGTGCCGAGTGGACTTTTTCCGGTCGCCCACTCACAACAGCTTCGTGAATCTGACGGTGATTGGTGAGTAGAATTATGAGGATTGGCACAGGTGTTGTTATCTATTCGTATCTGCTTGTGCTTGTCTTCAATTTTTTTTTTTTTTTTTTTTTTTTTTTAGACGGGTGGGAAGGTGTGACTTGTACTGTTTGCTTATTAATGAGTTAAGTTGATGTTTGATAATGTTTCTTTTATTTAATTTTATTTTTCTAGTGCCTCTGCATTACAGATTACGCAAAGATAATCTGTAATGTCAATTACTGATTAGTCCTAGAACAAATAAATTGTTACCAATGCGTGGGGGAACGAAAGGTCAAATGATAATAAGGATGATGATAATAAGAGAATTACTAGATATAAATGGACTAATATATAACTATGAATCAATATAATGATAGGATATAAGAACAAGAAAATCACATGAAAAATAAAAAACAATAAGAACATAAAGATGATGAGATGGTCATGAAAATCAATAATTAGTATTACTATAACAACTAGTACTATTATTAACAACATTAGTGATAGTGATAAAGATGATAAAAGATAATGATCATGATAATCATATTAATATTATTAGATAATATAATGATAGATATAATGATATATAATGATAATAATAATGATAATAATAATAAAATAATAATGTTATTAGTATTGATAATAGCAATAATAATGAAATAAAATAATTATGATAATATACAATAAAAAATTGACAATAATAAAGTAATGATGATTATAATAATGAGGAAAACAATAATGATTATAACAATTAATAATGGTGATGATAGTAATGATGCAATGATAATAACAAGATAATAAAAGTAATAAGTTAATAGTTAAAAATTAATAATAGTGATACAATGATAATATTATTCATATTTATTATGATAAAAGTAAAAAATTATAATATAAATTTAATAATAATATTAATTGAGAAAAAAATTAATAAAATAAAAGGATAATAATAAAAGTATAAAGATAATAGTAGAATCAATAACTAACAATAGTATCAATAGTCAAAATAATCATGATAATGACAGCTGTAGTAGTTAGTAGTAGTAGTATAATGATATATAATAATGAAATAATATTTATCATTATTATTATTATTATTATTATTATTATTATTATTATTATTATTATTATTATTATTATTATTTATTATCATCATTATTTCTTATTACTATTACTAACATTATCGTTATTGGTAACATTATAGTTGTTATTATAATAATAATAATAATAATTATTATTATTATCATTTTTATTACTATTACTAACATTATCGTTATTGGTAACATTATCATTATTATGATATAATTAATGATGATGATGATGATGATGATGATGGATGATGATGATGATGATGATGATGAATGATGATGATTGATGATGATGATGATGATGAATTATCATTATTATTACTATTACTAACATTATTGTTATTGTAATATTATTATCATTTTTATTATTGTTTATTATTATTATCATTATTATTAATTATTATTATTATTATTATTATTAATTATATTATTATCACTATTATTATTGTTATTATGTTTAGGATTTCTATTATCATTATGATTATAAAGATGATAATAAAAAAATGAATAGATAAATAACAATAACAATAAAAATGATACGAAAGACACGATAACAATAATAATAACATTAATACTCATAATAATGATGATAACGATAATAATAATAATAATAAGATAACGATACCAAAACAAGAAAGGAAGAAAAATCAAAACACAAAACTAATCAGTATACAAATATAACATATAAATGATAAAAGTTTATCTCGAAGTAATATAAAACGACAGCGGAAGATACGTGATGAGAAAGGTCAAGCCACGGCATCTTTCTGTCGATCCTTGTAACATAATTTTACAGCATAAAAGGTTGTCACCGTCGCTGTCATTGCTATAATGGTTTTTGTCAGTATTATCATTATTTTTGTAACTTATTTTTACAGCATAAAAGGTTGTCACCGTCGCTGGTATTGTTATAATCATTTTTGTCAGTATTATTATTTTTTTGTAACATAATTTTACAGCATAAAAGGTTGTCACCGTCGCTGTCATTGCTATAATTGTTTTTGTCAGTATTATCATTATTTTTTGTAACATAATTTTACAGCATAAAGTTACCGTCGCTGTTACTGCTATAATTGTTTTGTCATTATTATCCTTATTTCTATAATTGTTATAAATGCTGTTTGGTGTGTTATATATTTCACTTTTGTTATTATTTTTATCATTATTATTTTTCTTATTGTTTTCATTTTATCATTATTACTTTTTTATCATTCCTGTTATTATCATTATTATTTTCAATATTGTTTTTATCATTATTATTATTATTATTATTTTCATCATCATCATCATTGTTTCTTCATCATTACTATCATCATTATTATTATTATTATTACTACTATTATTATTATCATTACTATTCTTGTTGATATTATTATTATTGTTGTTATTATTATTATTATTACCATCATTATTATTGTTATTATCATTATTATTACTAAAAGTACTATCATTGTCATTACTGTTATCATTATAATTGCTATTATTCTTACTCTTATTATCCTTATTGTTATTGTTATCATTGTTAACATTATAGTTATTATTATCAGTTTTCCATCATCGTCATTGTTATCATTACTATTACTATTATTACTACCATTGTTGCTATTATCATTAACATTACAATTACTAATATTATAATTTTTATTGTCGTGATCATTAACATTTTTATTGTTACTATTTTTATGCTCATCATGATTAATATTATGATTGTTATTGTTATTATCATTTTCTTTATCATTTTCATTATCAATGTTACTATCATTATTACTACCATTGGTGTTGTTTTTATTATCAGAATTATCATTATCATTATCATCATCAGCAGCAGCAAAAACAGCAGCAGTGGCACATATATCAGATATTCTAATCGCCATCATTATTGTTGTTGTTTTTACTTCTGTGTTTGTTATTATTCGAAGTGTTATTGCGTCGGTTTATATATTTTTTTACTGTTCAAAATAACAGACATTGAAATCAGATTTTTTTAAACATTAGCATACCGATGTTATTGTTTTTGAAGCTTTTATTTTACCGCAAATAAAAAGGAAAAGGAGAGAGAGAGAGAGAGAGAGAGAGAGAGAGAGAGAGAGAGAGAGAGAGAGAGAGAGAGAGAGAGAGAGAGAGAGAGAGAGAGAGAGAGAGAGAGAGAGAGAGAGAGAGAGAGAGAGAGAGAAAATGAAACCAAAGATAAAGCACAATGGGCATCAAAATACGTATCATTTCGTTATATCCTTTTACCAAATTGCAACAAAGAAAAATATATCACGAAGAGGAGCTGCAAAAACTTCAAAGGAACAACCACCCTGAAGCAATGATTAGTTTTTATTAATGACAGCACAACGCCGGCCATTTCTAATTTTTTCTGCTTCTGACAATAAAGATCGATGTTTTTAGGTAATATATATTTTTTAAGCAATAATTGACACTTGGTAGATGATGGTTTGTTAAGATGATTGCTAAAATATCTATCTCTTAGGTATCCATTACGTAATACTGTGGATAATTTTAGTTTTAACACTCTGCTCTACCGATTATTATATTTACTGTTTCTGTTTTTGTGTCATTTTTCCATGTTGTTTTACCTCCTACATTGGAAATCCATATTGAACAGCATGCATTTGAACGCTTGATATAATCCTTCACTTTAGCAATCTACGTTTAACATTTCTATGTCACTTGTAAAACATATGCTGTAGATTAATCTAATTGTGTATCTACCTAATTTTCGACGTTGTCAAATGAACGCTGTCAGTGTGAACGAGAAAGCGACGAGAAAGCTCTTGTTACATGTAACGTTTTTTTATACTGTTAAAAAAAGGCTTCTGGACAGATATTAATTGCTTTTATTATTCTTGCTATCATTATCAAAATCATTATGCTTATTGTTAGATACGTTGACAAGGCACGATGATAAGAAATGGAAATGAAAAATAGTAAGAAAAAAAAAAAAATATTCATCCGAATATGAATATAGATATGTGTTGATACATTGGAGATAGATAAACATACTGTCTGTTGAATACAGATAGAAACAAAACACTGACAAAGATAAGAGAAATATCTGCTTTCATGCGCGCGCGTGCGTGTGCACACACACACACATGGACATATAAATGTGTTTGTATGTATATATGAAAACACATATATACGTATATATACACACATACATACCATACATACATACATACACACACTCACTCACTCACACACGCACACACACACACACCACAAGCTCACACGTACCCACACCATCACACCCACACCACCACACACCCCACACCACCACACCCACCCACCACACACACATATATGTCGTGTGTGTATATGTATTAAAAAAATGGATCATACAAAAATCGAACCATAAACACAAAAACACATATATACAAATACACTACACATATCGACGGCACAATCTACTCAATCTCCCCAAGCCCCCCTCCCCACCCCTCCCCACCCCTGGAAAAGCACAATCCCCACTCCATTCCGCACAGCTATCACTCCATCTCTCCACACGGACATCATATACGTACGGGCAAGTATACCTCGCATCCACAGGGCGGTGATCGAGTCTGTCAAGGGATATGTGTTCAGTGAATGAGCCAGCGGTGTTTATTCAGGAATTAATAGGATCGTTGAGTGGCTAGTAGGATGGTTGACCAGATGAATGGTCGAGCTGCTGGTAGGATGGTTGACCAGATGAATGG